TTGAAACTTCATCCTATTCAAGACAGAGTAAAGAAAAAAAATCTCATGCTATATAGATCACAGGAAACTGATTCATCAAAGTTCTCCTCCATCGCTGTTGTTCAACCAACATTTTTCACACTTTTTTCTAGGTCGTTCGAATATAGCCATCATGAGTAAATTGTTGAGGACTGAGTTAACATCGCCTTTTAAGAAGTTGCCTCTATTCCTCGTAATGGAACAAAACTATTGTTAGACAGTTGCCAAAACTGCACTGATACTTTTGGTGTTTATTTCGACAAAATTAATGTTTGAGCAAGTGATAATGTTTCAGACTTGATCAAAACTAGCAATTCATTATTTCGAGTCCAGACTTTTAAGTGAGAAGAAACAGTCTAGAACAACTATATTCGCTTTGAGGAACTTGAAAACATCATCAAGAACATGATGATGACAACCGAAACCTACTCAGTAATTATCTACAGGGAAAGGTGAAAATGAGTACTGAATGTCAAAAACAGAAAAAGACCGAAAGTTATTCAAATTAAACTTACCATCATCTTTCTCAAAAAACTTGTTTCGTTTTTCAGCTGGTGCTGCTTCAATCATATGATTTGGTGGCATACCTAATACTTCAATAATACGCATCATTTGATCATGCTCACAAGTACCAGCGAACAATGCTTCACCAGTGTGCATCTCAACCAATATGCATCCTAAACAAACGAAATAAAAAAAATAAATCAAGATCACCAATAGGACTGAATGCGGAAGAGTCTGGAAACTCAAATTGTAAAAAAAAACTTTAGTAATCAAACAACCAGAATTACTTCAACAAAAAAAAATTTGTTAGAAAACAATCATACTACAGGAAATGAAACAACTTAAGCAGATGTAATAAAAGCTGAAAACTACATACCTAAAGACCACATATCAATGGCTGTGTCGTACTGCAAACCCAAGAGGATTTCAGGTGATCGATAAAATCTTGATTGTATGTATTGATAAATACGATGACCAAGTTGACATGATGAACCAAAATCGATTATTTTGATCGCAGAGCGTTTTGGATTACATAACAGAACATTCTCGGGTTTTAAATCGCAATGTATGATATTTAGTTGAGGCGATGAAAGAAACATCAATGTACTGGCCAGCTGAAACAAAAAAGATTGAAAAGATGGAAAAAATAAAATTTACCTGTCCGTTACCATTGTCACTGGCATGGACGGATACTTATACAAATCAATGCATAAAAGAACACTGTATGCACATATAAACGAATAGAACTGTGCTCCATTTGCAACAAAATTTACTATCTTAGGCTTGATTCATTTATTTAAGTAAGGAATGACTTACTTAAATGTAAGTTTACGCTATTCTCTTACCTTTGTTGATACATAATAAGAAGTCGTGTTATACCCATTCAAATATAAAATGAAGCTCTCTACCTCTAGTCATATTCATCAGCAAATGATAATCATCCAGTCAGAGATTATAATAAATCAGGAATTACTACATTCACTCGCATTGTAAAAACCAGAAAAATCCACCATTATTCACTTAATAAACCAACAAACCTGTTGCCCAAACTTCCTTGTGAGATTGAGCGAAACACCATGGAAATCCGTATTCCTTAATAAGTCGTACAAATTGTACGAAAGAAGTTCAAAAACAAGGCACAAGTGATTACGCCACATGAAGTGAGTCTTCAGTTTCACTGAAATTAGAACAATCATGGGATTATAATTATGAAAGAATATGAAAGAAAAAAAAATACATATTTTTTTCTGGCATCATTTGTAAAAAATTTCTTCCGACAAACAGAAAAGGCACTTATAATGATGAGAAAATAAAAAATAGAAATACACTATCCTTCGTCACTTTATGATTGAATAAAACTATTACCGGACTCCAAGATAAATCATGGATTTTATGTTTTCTAAAGTCAACAAAATCAGTATATAACATACCAACGTAATGTTTGCTTTCAGATTCTTGACTGTTCATCATTTCAAGTAATCGAATTTCAATTTGAGCTTGATCATGGAATGGCTTTTTATTTTTTATAATTTTTATAGCAACATCCTGCTGCTCCACAGTATCATACGCTTTCGCAACTTGTCCAAAAGAGCCTTTACCAAGATGACATGCAATCTGATACCTAGAAAAAGCATGTAGACTGCTCAACAAAGCTTAACAACTAACTTGATGAATATGATATCGATAAGAACAAGTGACATGGAGAAAAATGACAAACTAACCTATTGTTGAAAAGTTCACCCGGATGTATGATATAGTCATGATTTTCATCGTCATAACCGTTGTTATGACTTCCAGAACGCGGATTTTCAACGACCTGAATTAACTTCATTATTATGATAGTATGACAAAACAAATTCTGAAGCCGAACAGTTATTGCATCATAATTTACATTAATAGATTTACAGGTTGTTGTGCTGGAATCACAAAATAACAATTCCATACAATCTCTTAATTTCGCATTGCGTTATCATCTATTACTAGTATGAAGTAGATTCTCCGATTCTAAAACAGATGCGAAATGATCTTTCAACCGTACATACAAAATGTCTCCCAAATATCCGCAGATAGCTTGAACTACTTCTGCGCTATCCCAAATGTGCTCAGATCATTCCTAATTCAGGAAAATCTTTCAGTAGAAAACATAACCTGCACGTGTAAATGATGTAAGAGTGAGGGGATGCCAGCAGCCTGGGAAAACATCGAATGCTGAACATGTTGCGAACGGCCTTGCTGCATCAAATTTGAAGTAATCTGTAACTAATTTCTTAGAGAAAATAATTTTTAAAAATTTTTTCAACAGGTTAAAAAAAGAACTTTTTTTTACTTGTTGACTGAGTGAAACAGCTTGTTTGGGTGGTGGCGCAGCATGATGATGTTCGGAGAGAGCTGCTGGATGAAGTCCATGAGTATGATGCTCTTGCTCATGTCGCCTTTTCGCCTTTCGTGCATAATAACTCTAAAATAGTATCAGGAAATTTGAAATTCCATCAGATATTTCCTATTGAGTAATTATTATGGAGTAAAAGTTACAGCTTAATAATAAAAGCGAGTAAATTTCGGAAGATTACGCTTATAACATTTATCGAAGCTGTAAAATTAAACCAATCTCAATAGAAGGACTAAAAAAAGTGCAAACCTCATTGATGCCTTTGTAAGTTTTGATCAAATCAACGCTTAATTTTCTCAATGGAGAAGTGGCGGATTCACGGTGTGAAGAGCGATTGTGAGTACTGTTCACAGCACTCTGTTGATGCGTGACAACACCACCACTATGAGGATTCTGTGTAGAGGTGGATGGAATATGATCAGCCACAGGAAAGCCCATATGTGCCTGACTAGACAGCGACAAACCAGAACTGTAAATTAACTTAATTAGAATAGCAAATTATAGATAACTAATGAGCATAGATCACTTCCTTTTCAAAATATACAAATAGAATAGAAAGCAAGTACAATCCCTGACGGTTATAAATTACCTAATTCTATTTTTTTATGGCCAATATGTGGCCGATGGATAATACTTTGATGAAGATCAGACAATAACTTACTTATTGCTGAAAGACATGTTTGGAGAGTAGGCATTATTCGAATCCTGGAGCGGAGCATTCAGAAACGAACCACCATCAATGACAGAGGGTTGCACTGCCAACGAAGCTGAACTCTGTGTAGAGCTCTGCTGAGGCCAAGCTGACGATGTCGCAAACTGTAAACCATTAAAGAGCGGAAAATGATGGAAGAATAAATATAACATTCCGGACAGTGTCATTCTTTTTTTTTCTGATGAAAAAAAATTAAATCTTGCAATGAATAAACAGGAAAACCTACATTTGGATTTTGTCCAAACATGTTCGCTCTGCGATCGTATTCTAACTTTATATCCTGAGCAACCATGCTTTTCAGGCTCGCTTTACTGATTACTATTGTCCATCAACCCACCTGGGTGAGAGAGACAGAATAATGGAATTTTCAGTTTTTGAAAATGTTTTATTCTTCGTATATTTGAAGTCTAGTCAATGGAGAATGGATAACCAGTGAGCAATAACTTTCACGAATGTTCAGAATTGCTAAACATCTTATGGATAACGAAAGGCGCAGTAGTAACAACACTCGTTAGCTGACGAAATATAAGGCTTTCTAGAAAATTCAGAAGCCAAAAGCATGAGGTGACATCACACCTGTAATATATCATCAGAACTTTTAAAAATAAGTTGTAAAAAAAGAATATATAACACGAAGCTCGAAAACTTCAAACATTTTCGTAAATCAAATATGCATTTAATTAAGATACTTCTATTTTTCCTGTATAATGTAATTTCATCTATTCCCTCTTTATCCCAGATCTAAAATTGTTCGAAATATTAGCCAGGCAATACCAGTCAAGAAAGTGCAAAATAAATTCATTCCAAGCTATGAATAAAACATTCAGCTTTGGTAAATATCAGACATTGCATCTCCTGGAATAAATTTTTTCTAATCACTTGATTACATTGTTCTATTGTTCTACAGATCTAACTGGTGATGATTGATGGCCAACCTATGTAACATTTTATCAGCATGCCAAAAACAGCTATAATCTTAACTCGGCTTGAGTGATATCATCTTGTTGAGATCATCAGGCCCAGTTCCCAGGGAGTTCGACATACCTGCATAAATGCATATCAATGTCATTGTCTGCAAAAGGAATAACCCTCAAATTATTGTTGGTGCCTACAATTTCATCCAATCAGACATCTGTAAAATTTCTGTGACAGCAAGGAAAAGAAAGGATAGCGAAACAATGTCCAAGTAAGCTGTTACAGTGCCGTTGGATAATGTGTGAAAGTGAATGATCCGTAAGTCGTCGTAATCCAAATGAATGAATGAACGAATGAAGAATGAGATAGCTAACTTCAACAGTGCTGAGAATAATATGCACGCACATTGCTCACCGGATAGCGCACGTTTTAAGATTAGACTATATAATTAAATATAATAATAATAAAAGAGAGATATATTAATGAAGTATGATACGATGACTGATCAGGCATTAATGAAAAAGTGTCCTATGAAGGAGACATGACAGAATATAAAATGGGACAGAAGTTGTATCCCAAGCGAATTCTCTTTCCGCACCCCTTTGGAATGTATGTCTA